CCTCTTTTAAGTTTTAATTATCTTCGATTAAACTTTTGTTTTACTGGTTTGCTTTGAGCGTGTGTGGTAATTACAGTGGACTCGATAATACTGTAAGTAGCCGTTGGATTTCGTCAACCATCCGTACGCGGTACCCATCGATTGGACCTGTTTTTTCCTCACCGCAGCCATTTTTTTCTCCACGTTTTCTTCACTTGGCGGTTAGGTGACGGTAAATTATCAACTCCTCCGTTTTAAGGGAACAGCGAATTTCCTTTTCTTCTTTTTTTTGTGTAATTAAAATGATTTAATGCCAAATACGACGTCACATTTATCCCAAATGTTTAACAGTGAATGTGCTTAGCAGGGCAGAGCTGTCCTCTATCTATCACTTCCTATTTCATTTCCATCATAATCGTTATAAAATTAGCAAATATAGTTCAAAATAAAATCTTCCGATTAGATTTCTACCCGAATTTATCTTATTTTATTCTATTTTATAGATCCCCTTTGAGTAAAAGCAGCATGGGTGTATGTCCAACATCATGACATTGATTTAGGCAACAATTGGACATCTCATAAATTATTTGGAAGGTACAAATTTAATTGGCTTCTTTCACCATATATTGTTTTATTGAATGCAGGTTCAACAAATGTATTTGAATTGTCAAAAACTATGTGTCATATATGGGAAATTTGTATGCATGATTTATAGTTAAAAATATATATTATTATTGTCAATGAAATAAAAAAATTTTAAAATTTTAAATTTAAATCGTTATATTGATTTGTTTACTATATTAGTTTGATACCAATTTTTTTTCGTTTTCTTATTTTTAGTTAAAATGGGCATGTGGGCAAGTGTATACTTTTGTACTATACTTGTGTATACTAATATAATCCTTAAAACAAATTTTTAAAAATTTGATTTTAAATTTTTGGTTTTAGATAGAAAGTTTGTTAATATAGTTAGTACGGGATAAGTTTTGTATCCTTGTATAAACTTGGATATAACAAGATTATATTATAGGAGTAATAAATTAAAAATAAGAGAAAGAAAAAGAGAGAAGCATAAAAGTATAGGCAGGCATTAGCCAAAAGCGTACGAGAAAGCCAAAAAATGACAATCAAGGCCATGATTAGGTATGATCAGTAATGAAGAGATTTTAGATTTAGAATGATGTCGTTGTTATTGGTAGGTGTAGGGGAAAACTTAAAAGGCTTCATCACAATGAATCAATGATAACTACTCTTTTCCTATCCATCAAAGGGATGGTTTTCAATAATAATTGTTTTTTTTCTTTTACAAAAAGGGCATCTCAACATTAAAATAATGCATGAAAGCGTTTGTCGATTTCAGAAACTTCTTTGAGATGCAACTCACGTTAGAGGAGTTGTCGTAGGTCTTATTAGGGGTGTGGTATTAATTAGGCTTAATTATTGTCAACCCATCATTTGGATTGTTGACAACTAGGGTTTTGGCTAGGATTCATGAACAATCTATAGACTAAGTGTTGATGAGATGACTTTGAAGAGCAATCCCTAAACTTACCAATAATTATGATTGCATATAGACTAATATAATATTCATATTTTCGTACTTTTGTTTTTTATGTACATGTATCATTGGTACATCACCACTACATGATAGTAGTAGAATATTTGTGTGAATTTTGGTACATAAAAAAATCAGTGCCGGTTTTCGAATTAGGTTGAGAAAAAGAATCATGTGTAGGTGGATTGGAAAAAAATAAAATAAGGAAGAATCTATACGTTACAGGATAATAATAAGGATCCAAAGTTGTAACTCAATTAAATATTTGCAAATCCATTACAAACTCACTATGTGATACAGCAATTGTTTTTCCTTAAAGCAATCAACTAAGTATACAAAACGGAATCAATTGAATCAGCACACCCAACCTAAGATAATAAAAAAATATTAAAACCCCAGAACGTAGCACACATTTTTTTAATAATTTTATTTGTATTTTTTAAATTGTTGTGGAATTTAAAAAAGAAGTCAAAAACGCTGAGGTAGTTTATCTTAATTCTTAGGTTTCTTTATTATTAAAATTAAAAATTTAAAGTTACGTTTAATCCGTTTTGTTACTGTTCAATTTGCAACTGCTTTTGCGAGAAGAAACTGTAATTTTTGAGTTAAAATTATTATCTCGTCTCGTTGAATTCCCAGTTTGCTTTTCGTGGTGCACGTGAGGCTCGTGGGTTTCCGTTCATCTAATCGCAACTGCAAAAAGGTGAAGTTGGACTCCAGTCTCTCTCCCAACACACGTGGCGTGAGCCTGACGGTTCGTTCCTTTGTCGATCGTACTTTAGCGTAGATCCGACGGTAATTAAAGGCCATTAACCTATTAATCATGTCGGAGTTTTCTCTTTTCGAGGTAGGATGTCCCTCAAAAGTAAAATACGCATCACGCAACAGCTGACCAAAGTCATGGTTATTTGGTAAAGATTTGAAAGTCATACCATGCACGTGTCGTTCTCTCAGCGGCCAACCTAACCCTCAGCCTGGAGGCGCGAAACACCTTGTTTCCATCTAATCATCTGCGCTCACAACGCTTGCGTTTCAACATCGCTTTAGGCGCAATAACTAAAACGACGTCGTGAGGTCTTGATTTCTTAAGAAGTGCTGGGATTTTAGGCTATGCGGAATTGCGGATGCACTAGCTCGACGAAGTGGCGAGTTGATTCGGAAACTTCAGGAAGTGCGATCTGATGTGGGCGGCTTTAAGATCCCGATATCTACGTCTATCTGCAACATCGTTGCCTTCGTCTTCTCTCACTGATCGATCGTGGAAGCTAGGGTATTCAGGTTTAAATCGGACGTTCTCTTCGTCCAGCGCGGAGAGCAGTAGTAAAGAGTTGCTCAGCCTGCAAGAGGTGGAGAAGGTTCTGAGCGATGTGAGAGCAGATGACGTGACGGTGATTCCAGTGGGGAACCAATGCGATTGGGCCGATTTCATGGTGATTGCCACCGGTAGGTCCACGTGGCACATTAAGAACATCGCTCAAGCCCTAATTTACAAGGCACGCTTCTTTGTTCTTTTTTTTTTTCTTTTCCAGACCAAATTTCTTTTATTCCCCAGTTTCCTCGATAAATTTAGAAAATTACTCTCTTTCTTAATAGTGATTATGTGGAGGTGATAGCTGTTCATTTGTTAACATGTTTGTTATGTGTATGAAGAAGCTCATTAGTTATGTTTATTTGCTAGAACAGGTTAAGCAGAAGCAAAAAGGAGCTAAGCGGTTGGTTCTACCCAGTGTGCAAGGACAAGAGACGGGAAAATGGATTGTTGTTGACTCTGGTTCGTGCTGCATTCCCTACTTTTGTTAATTCTGTTGTTTCTCAATCATTTCTTTGCATGGTTTGTATAGTGTTGTCTGATATATGCATTCCCATATGAAATGTAAGGTTTCCAAAATAGTGCTGGTAATTGCTTTTGGCAAAAATGGAAATGTCACATAGAATGTCTGCAATTTGCTTCTGCTGCTTTCTGAAAATATCACTGAAGCCAAAAAGCAAAATGTAATTTTTTATCAGTTGCTATCTATTGTAGTAATTCATTTGTTGTTGAGGCAACATATAGCTGGTCAAGTTTTATCTGTCATAATGGTATGATTGATTTCCGTACAGTTGGCATAAAGATAATAGGACAAGCCATACTTCCTTTCTTGGAAAGGAGAGATGGAGTGAGTAATAGATGGTGCTATCTAGGGGTTATTCTCTATGCCCCTTCAAAGGAATTGATCTCCTATGAGAATATTTCTTTGCGCTTGAACACATACACAGGGTTAGCAGTTTCGCATTGAAGCCAAAGTTCTGGCAACATCTTCCAGAATGATAGTATCTAATTCTAGATATTCTTGCATGTTTCATGCAAATTGTATGCATTTTTTTTTTGTAATTTATTTTTCTGGGGGTGTTTCTTTTCTTTAGGCAGGGTGATAGTTCATGCTCTCGACGAGAAGGCGAGGGCTTATTACAATTTGGAAAATCTTTGGACTCCAAGGACAGTCCTGAAGGAACCAGTTGAGGTAAGTCTGTAAATTTTTTATCTACAATGATGAATTTCTAATCCTTTGTCTTAAATTTCCTATGAAACCGTCTAGGTCTCTGATGACCAGAGTTAGTCAGGTTTAGCTTCTCCATCTAATAGCCTTGATGTTTATGTCTTGCAACTCCCTGGATATTTTTTTTGTGGCGATACATCTCAGGAGAATATTCCAGAATCCTTTTTAACTCAGATAGCGGTAGTCATGGAATTCTAACCAGATTTTGATTATAACAGAATGTGTTTAAATTTCAATAGTGGTGCTAGCAAGCTTGAAATGGCATACTTTACGGTGAAGCGCACCCAAATAAATAAAATAATTTACCATGTGGAAGAATAAGGCTTGATGAATGATATTTTCCTTCTTTTCGCTTTCTGCTCTCCATAACCAAATAGCTTGAATTTCTGTGAGCCTTTCTGAGTTCTCTTACCACTTTCCAAATACTTGTCTGTCAATGAATTCCTGGATATTTGGGTGTGATTACCTGAACACATTTTCGAGAGTTAAAAAAGGAAATGTTTAGGGTCATAAGTATACTTACAACTTGTATATGAACTTACAGTGTAGGTATATTCTATTCTCTAAGTTACAAAAGCAAAATAATCATTAGCGTATATGGTTTCCCTATAGGACTGCCAAAATTAACTTTATCTGTTGATTACCTGTAGGTCAATCTTATCTTGATCTGGTTCAGTTAATAGGGGAGAACATCCTATAACCTCTTTTTCTCTTCTTGGGGTCTCTCATTCTCTTCCTTTCTTGCTTTCGTAGTGTCTTTTGTCAAATCTTTCCTGCAGATACAAAATATCTTTTGCTAGTCAATCTCTTAAACTAATCTTTCCTTATTTTTCATTTCAGGAGTTGACAAAAGCTTTTGTAAAGGTTCGTCGTGTTAATAATTCCAAAAAGCCAGCCCAGAGAAGTGCTTAATCAATTGACAACTCGGATTTTGTAGATGTAGCTAGTTACATGATAAAGTTCTTTGCTACTTGTAGTTGAAAACCATAGAATTGATATCTGATCAATAGTTCTTTCGGAGCTTGTGTTGTACTGCTATATTCAGCCTTTTGGTGGCCTGTGTTGTTGTTTATCAAGGAGAAACCACCGTCCCCTTCTGCCATTCGCCCCATTTCCCTGAGCGTGATACTTCTTACTGCACGCTCTTTCAACTGAGAAATGGGAGTCTATATCAAAAAGGTTAATTGGAAAGCAACCATCTAAGAAAGATTTATAGTATCAGATAACGAATGAAGAGCTTCACAAACTTTTGCTTAAAGCCAAGCTAGGAAAATTTCGACGCCAGTGGTCTACTCTGCATTTGGTAGCTTCCCTTTGCTTCGGTGGGTGAAGTCAGCCCAATTCGTAGGAATGGAAAACGAAGTCGTTTGCATTAATCACGCTTGACTTGAAGGCCTTGTTGGCCACTTCCTTTGCTTGCGGTTGAGCTGATTAACCTAACTTTCCTCCAATTAATTATTTGATTTTCCATTAAAGTGCTTAGAGCACCTTCATTTTACTACTTTGCCAACCAACGGATGTTTCCGCTCTATCATACACCATTCAAACGCATTGGTTTTGATTGTAATAATCGGGGAAACGAGACCCATTACTGGACAAACCGTCAATCCACCCAAACAGCAGGAAAACAGGTCTTACATATTGAATAACATTCCACACTTGTCACGGATCATTACTCTCTCTCTCTCGTAAACGCGTTTAAGAGAGTGTGTAGCACACCCGTCTATAAAAAACTCAAAACCTACCGCATTTAAGGAGTTGTATAACACACCCACTTATAAAGAGTCCAAGACATCTCATTCTTATCCGATATGAGATATCCTGAGTCTCCCTAGACCCAGACGCTTTGGCCACTCTGATATCACTTGTTATAAGATCTGGTCCGTTCTGACACCACTTGTCATGAAATTATTTTTCTCTCTTATAAATAAAGGTGTGCAACACATCCACCTATAAAAAATCCAAAACCTACCATTTCTATCCGACATAGAATAGAAGCACTTTCCTCGTTAGCTTCGTTGGCATCGCCACTCGTAACAGTCTCCGGACTTCCCAAAGCAAAACCGCACGCCAATTAACATTTTTCTCTCTGTTCTTCCGGCTTTATAAAAAGCATCGTAATCATTTTTCTCCGCTTCATTTCTGGCTACTCTCTTCGCTCCGCGTTCTTATTCTCTTCTCGCTGTTCGCGGATTCTTCGGAGCTTCAATTTCCATGGCGGCTGTTGCTGGATCCAATGTCGTTGCCTTTAAATCCGGCTCGAAAGTCGGAGATTGCAGTGACCGGAAAAATGTTCAGTTTCGCCAATGGTATCCGATTTCTGGGGGAATCGGATCGGTTCAGACGCGGCCGTGCAATGGTCTCCAGTGCAGATCGAGGAGATCGTTTGCTTCCTCCGGTATATTTTCTCTTTGGCTTTTAAGCAATTACTTTTATCTTTGTGGGATGTTTGTGCTCAATTCGCTCCATGTATATGAAGTATGAATTAAGGAATTTGAGAATTGTTTAACAAGATTAACCGCTAATAAGCGATATTGGTTGATAATCTACGAAATTATTGAAAAATTACGAGAGGCATTCTAGTTAATTTGGCTTTTGATCCTTTTTCTTTTCCAGGTGTAAGAGCTCAGGTTGCCGCTGTTGAACAAGCTAGCATTGAAGCAGCTCAAAAAGTAGAAGCTCCCGTAGCCATAGTAACTGGAGCTTCTAGAGGCATCGGTAGAGCAGTTGCATTGGCCTTAGGGAAAGCAGGTTGCAAGGTTAGTGGATGTTCATTGTCAAGGTCTTACTAAACGTATTTCTCTCTTATTGTCATTAGTTTAAAATTTGAGGTAAAGCCTTAGGAGGAAGGCAACTTGGGCTGGGGTATGAAGTCTTGACTAAAAATACGAATCCTAGGATAAATTCATCATGTCATCTTTAAATTTTGTTGTTGAATAAAGAATATTAAAAAAAAAGGAGTAAATTTCATCTACATCTCTTGTGATTTCAACTTTTCTCACATGGCGGTGCCTTGTTATCAATTAGCATCATTTGGACATTCTTTTTCCTAATTAGTATCCTGTGAATAACTTTTGTTTGCACAAGAGGTTAGATTGTTAATTTTTTACCTAGTAAAAATACAAAAATATCCTTAAGTGTGTACAAAGCTTACTTTTGAATTGAGGGTATTTTGGTAAGTTTACTAGACAAAATTAGCAACGTAACCCCTTGTGGGAATAAAAGTTATGCACAGGATGTTAATTGAGAAAAAAGATACACAGGGTGCTAATTGGGAAAAATGATACCTAGAAGGTGCTAATTGGAATTAAAGAAATCACGAGATGTCATGTGGAAAAAGTTGAAACCACAAGGGGTGTAGGTGGAATTTAGCGAAAAAAAAAAGACTTTGATTTGTACCAGGGTTGCATCTAATTCTATTTCTTGAATATAGGAAGCTATCAATCTCATCAATTCCTAAAAGTATAGTGTTAATGATTAGAGTAAAGTCAAGTCTTGTTTGAACTTTAAAGTATTGGGTAATAGAGTGGACTCATTCTTCATTATGCACTGTATACTGTCCTAAGGCCTTTCATGCTTCTTTGCTGATAACAATTGCATCTCAAGTGTCCTTTTAAGTACTTTGAGAAAAAATGTTTTAACAAGTTATATTTTCTATTTACTATTAGTTATTGAAAAAAATGGTTTTTGATGCTTTGTGCTGTTGCAGGTCCTAGTAAATTATGCTAGGTCATCAAAGGAAGCTGAGGAAGTTTCAAAAGAGGTGAACAATTTTCCCTTTTGAAGAATTTACATGAAAACTTGAGTGGGATTTTGTGTAATTTTTTCCATTTTCTCTTTTTAGTTGTTGGAGAATTTTTGTTGTGTAATGCATAAAAATTCTTATTAGTCACCGCCATTATGTTTGCTAGACTGGAGTCTTTTGTTTTACCACAGAGGAGAGTTTGTAGGCTGCCTAAAATCTAATTCTTGGATTCTTTATGTGCTCATTTTTGCATGTTCTTGAATGCATCTATTGGAAGAAGAGTCACGAATGTGATTTTTCTCCAGATATAATAATTTGATTTTTTTTTTTAACTTGACCTTTCGTCACCTTCAGTCATTACATGAATCTTGCTTTAAAACTCCTTGCCAAAGTGCCTTTGTGTTTTTTTTTTGGTTATCTGTAATGTTCTTTAGGCAGTGGTTAAATTTTACTGCATAATTGAAATGACTAATGTTAGCAGTTTGTGTGACTATTTTGTAGATTGAGTCATATGGTGGTCAGGCTCTTACTTTTGGTGGAGATGTTTCAAAAGAAGCTGATGTGGAGTCAATGATTAAAACTGTGAGCAAATGTTCCCCTTCATTTCCTATTTTGTAATTTACTAGTTGTTGCATGTTTCATGATTTTATATCTGCAGACTGTTGATGCATGGGGAACCGTTGATATATTGATAAACAATGCAGGTTATTGAAAATTCTTTTCTTTTTCTCAATAGTTATTCAATTGTCGATTTCTATCTAGTTCCTTAATCTGGTGACGATGGGTTCAGGAATTACTCGGGATACCTTGTTGATGAGAATGAAGAAATCACAATGGCAGGAGGTTATTGATCTGAATCTTACAGGAGTGTTTCTTTGTACACAGGTCTGAATGCTGGACATTTGACTAATTATTCTAGTGGTTGCTTGAGTTAGTTATTGAAACTGAGTTACTTTACTCTTTGCAGGCTGCAGCCAAAATCATGATGAAGAAGAAAAAGGTATTAGGATATTTCTCATTTGAAGGTCATGGGTAGTGTACTTGCTTTATCAATTTGTTTGGAAGTGAACTTTGTACCTCCAAATCAACTGATTCAGCTACAGCCTCTAAACTTAAGCCTCAGTATTTTAACATGGCTCTTCAAAAAAGCATCTTTCTTGTTGATTCTTTCTCTTTTGTAGTGTCAGATATGTTTTAAGCATGCTTAAAGATTGTTGGTTTAGACATGTACCATGTCTCAGTATATGTTTTAATTTCAGGGAAGAATAATTAATATAGCATCAGTTGTTGGTCTGGTTGGCAATGTTGGGCAAGCCAACTACAGTGCTGCTAAAGCAGGAGTTATTGGCTTGACAAAGACTGTCGCAAAGGAATATGCCAGCAGAAACATTAATGTAAGTTTTCCAGAGTGATAACACTTTAATTCCAGTAGTAAGAAAAATCCAAGGGTTAAGTGTTGTCCAATATTGCCCTTTCCACATAAGAGGAAAAAGATTTAGAATATGCAATGTGGGATAAGGTAAAGAAAGATGATATCGTATTGACTATTCTGATATTGATGTGTGTAAGAAACAATAAGGACACCTGTTATGGGGCTGAGGAGTAGAGTTCATCCTGCTAGTGGCAGGTATGTTTACTCTGATAATGTTAAGTATTCTTCCAGGTAAATGCTATCGCCCCAGGATTCATAGCATCTGATATGACTGCCAAGCTTGGCGAAGACATTGAGAAGAAGATCTTGGAAACAATCCCCTTAGGTAAGAGATGATTATATAAAATCAAAGTTCATATTTCAATCTTTATGGATTTCTTATTAGTGCTTCTTAAATTGTTAGCTTTTGTGCCCTACTAAAGTCACCAAGTATTTGCTAGCTTTCATGTGAAATGCTTGAGAGTTCTTATTGCTGCTAATTTTGTAATGTACCAAATACTTTGTATCTTTGTTGATCTTATACCGTACTCCCACAACTTTCTTCCATTGCCTTTATCATTTACTGTAAACTCATATTATTAATGTGATATCCTAGTTTCATCTGATTCAAATTGTATGTTTCAGTTGTCATTCTTAGTAATATTTGTAGCAGCAGTAACTAAATTTTAATGGATACAGGAAGGTATGGTCAACCAGAAGAAGTTGCTGGACTGGTAGAATTTTTGGCCCTGAACCCTGCTTCCAGTTACATCACAGGACAGGTTATAAATCTATTTCATCATGATGCGTTTTTGTATATATAATTTATACAGTGGACTTGATGAACCTGTGCTATGCCACAAGTCACAAGTGTCCATGACTCCACTAGCCTACTATAAATAGTGCCTAAAGATTGACTACTTAACTTGCTGAATGCTATCGATTTATTTTATCTGGCCTTTGTATGCTTGCATGGGCACTTGCTTAGGTTAATTTAACCATGGGGCTTGGCCATGCATGCCTTGATATAACTTTAACCTCACTTAATGAATCTTTATAGGTTGAATGTCGTTGCCTTGGTCTGGCTTATTGTATTTTGTGCCCTTGCTACATGTTGGAATTTTATGTTCTGGCTTTAGTGATTTCTTCATCCCTCTTTTGTATGTGAGTTATACGCTAGGCCAAGCTTATTGAAAATGTTATACTTGCGTTCTGTTCTTGACCTGGCATTTGCTTGCTTTGGTAATTCGTGAGCTTTCATAAGGGGGACTGGCACTATGGGAACACTAAGATTAGGAGCTTGCCTGAGATGCAAGGTTATTGTTCAATCAATCCCTAGGCTTGCTAGTCCACTATTGGCATGCCACATCATGATTCATGGTCGATTACGCTGACCCTGTTTGTGGCAGAGTCTTATTATATCCTGCTTCCCTTCCCCTTTTGTTAGCTGATAGCCAGGACATGGTTTTCTTGCAGGTGTTCACCATCGATGGGGGAATGGTCATGTAAATTTCCCACTGTCCCTGGTTAAGCTTTCAGCGGGTGCTTCTGCAACTACAGCTGGACTCAAATTAATATAGCTTGTTTAGCGGATGGTGTTGTTCGACAGATTTTAGCTTTTGTATCTACTTAATAAACAAGAATTCCCGAATTTTGGCAGCATTTAACTTAAGCATGTTGTAAAACCAAAGGAAGAGCTATGTAGGCTTTCATTTGGCTTCGTCTGAAGTGTGGATTTTGAGCAGTTTGTCATCCATGAAGAGTAGTATTTCAAATTTTCAATGGAAGCTGGAGGAAAATTCTGTTATTGGGACTGTTTCTGACTGGAACAGGAGGCTGGCTCTTATCACAGCTTTGATGTTGGAATGGGCAAAGTGATTTTAGCACAATTAAGCCAAAATACGGAAGGTAATTTGGCCGCAAAATAATATTCATAGCAAGTCTAAAGTAAATAAAAGCGCATGTAGAGATGGGTGGAGGCAGTCATAACAAACAACGATAGACACTTGCCATATTTATGGCTGGGAAAGCGGAGAAGAGTAAACTAAACAACTGGGAAGGTGCTGTTCGAGAAATATGAAAATATCCGACTAGGCGAATATCCTTCAGAGCATAAAGCATACCGTGTCACGTGTACCTACTCTTCAATTGAGAAGAGTCGTCAAGAAAAGAGCAAAGAGGTTACTTTGCCCTTTTACTTTCAAGTTTCAACCGTCTAAAAAGATTG